TGTTGGACTATTGCAAATTCTTGTACGATATTTTTGACCTTTGCCACAAGTTGCAGTACATAATGACCACATTCCCCAAGTACTCCAACCACCAATGCCTAAAAATTGGATTTCATCATTTACTTACAAAAAATATTAAGTACTTAAAAAATATTTAATTATTTATTTAATTATACTTGGACATCCAACGTCATACTTAACACAATTCATAGCATTTCAGTAGAGTATCTATATATATATATATATATATGTAAAGTGTATGAAAATATTACTATAAGACTATTTCTTTGAAAATTGTAAATTTTGTGTTCATAACCGTATTGTTTTCAAGAATCTTCTCAATAATGGAAAATGTACAATCTACAAGAAAACACAATTCTATCAAAGCTGGTAATTTCTTGTGAAATTCCTGCACAATCTTCAGTTCTCCTTTACGTGTAGGATGAACATTTACAACCTTCTCATAATCAGTCATTGTACATCCTAAAAATAATTATTGAAGCAAATTATACGTAAAATTACTATTACTAAAATTTTATTTTGTCATTCTAGGTTGTACCAGTAATCTGACAACTTTCAATTTGATAACTGGGACCAATGCAAGAAGCTCCATTATTGGAAGGTGCAGGATTATCACAAGTACGATGCCTCCTCCTTCTCCCTTTAAATCCACATTTCCCAGAACAAGGACCCCAAGAGCTCCAAGAAGTCCAACCACCATCAATGGGACATGAATTGTCATGTTTTAATCCAAGATCACAATATAGGCTCTGCATTGCATTGACTGCATCGTCTGCAATAAAAATATTAGTAACATATTAAATTATTGGATATGAATATTCCTTTTACCAGTAGAAGCAAGAAGAATCAATGATATGAACAAAATAAGAAGAAATATTATGGATGGCAAAATTTGCATTATATGCAATAATTTAGGAATAATTAAGAAGGAAGTGAAATAATAATTATCATTATTATTATTGCATTATGTGCTAAACGCATTGAATTCCAAAAAGAGTTATAAGTTATTATATTTTTATTTTTAATATATTCCTGTTTCAAATGTAAATTATCCAATACGTAAAGCGGTTCAATTTGAATTCAAATATATCTATCTCCCATGTCAAGATAAATTCAAGCCAATGAGATTTGTTCGTTCCGCGTAACAATGCTCGACTTCAATAAAACTTGAAATTTACCCGTACGGCGCGAGCGGCACAAACCTCGTGAAAATCTGTATAGTGTCAGTCAAAAAATATATAAATACTTCTAACAGATTGTAGTAAGTGTCTCTTAAATAAAACAGATAAGTTTTGACTTTTAAAGTGCGATTACGTTCTCAAGGGATGACACCGTAAACTGTATTACTTTCAATGTTATTGAGAATTTCAGCAAACAAATAAGTCTAACCTTTGATCACGAATGTCTCAATGATAAAGTTAAACAATTAATCATCGTCGATGAATATTCACGAGGGATAACAGTATTAATCGATAAAAGATTGTATAATAATAATAATTTACGTTAGATAATGTTAATGCCTTCGTTATTATCTTATTTCTATCTTTTTTTTGTTTGGATTTAGTTCTGTCTGTATTTAATATTTAATTTTTCCCTGTACCATACAAATATGACTCTCAATGCCTTAAAAGAAATGGCAGGAGAAGTGGTTGATATCCACATTACAGCTGATAGCAACTTTCCTTCATTAATCAATCTGATGCGATATAGTGTGCAAGGTAAGTTTGTTACTCTTTTGTCTATTTTATATCTTTCAGTTATTTCATGTATTTTACATAAATAGAACACTTTTTCAGGTGGACCAACAGTTAGTGGTCGTGATGATCATGACTATCCAAATTTAAATGAAATGTCAATGTGTTTTTCAAATATAAATCAAATGAAAGCATATAGTAAGATCTCATTGCCATCTGAAATAATGGAACATTTTCGTCGTATCCTTTTAAATAATGACAGATCAGTTTTCAATATTTTTAAATATAATTTCTTAATGTCTAATTAGATATACAATGCCATTGTATGATGGGTCTTTTTACAGAAATTTCGAAAGCATGGCTTACTATTGATAGTGACATATATGTTTGGTCGTATGAAAATGAGTAAATATTTAATTTAAAGTTAATAAAAATTTTCCTTACAAAAATATTGTAATTCATGACTTAATAATGATTTGTAATATACTTTCAGATCTGATGTTGCATATTTCGATGGATTAAATGAGACTATTATAAGCGTAGGTTTAGTGAAACCCAAAGTGGGAGTATTTCAGTCTTATGTGAAATATCTGTTAATTCTTACAACTACAGTGGAAATAACTATTCTTGGAGTTACATTAACAGAAACCAGTGACGGTACAATACAGTTAATTTTACTCTGAGATTATATCATTTTTGAACTTCATTTATTGTCTTGATTTCCTGTTTAGGTATTTCACCAGAAATGCAATTGGTTCCTGAACCAATTTTTACTGTCACTACAGATGGCATTGGTATTACAACAATAGCAAACACCAGTAGTGGAAGAATTTTTCTTGGTGGTAGAAATGGATCTCTTTATGAAATATATTATCAGGTAAAATTTACTACACGCATGTGAAAATGAAAATAATTAATATATTATAATATATGTAAGAAATCATAATTAATTACTGTAGTACGTGTTTGTTATGTAGGCAGAAAGTAGCTGGTTTGGGAAACGTTGTAAAAAAATAAATCACTCTGAAGGTCCATTATCATTTTTAGTTCCATCATTTGTCACTATAGCTTTGTCAGAGGAAGAAGCAATAATACAAATTTCTGTTGATGACTCGCGAAATATTTTATACACACTTGGTGATAAGGGAACCGTCACAGTTTGGGATATCGATAATAATGGTGCATCCAAAGTTGCATCTTTGTCACAAGCTTCCTTAGTACAAAACGCTGTTCACGTTGTTAAGTATGTATATTTATACATATCTTAATTTTAAATAGTTGAAATTCATGATTTATATTACGTTTATTGTTTTAGAACACTGGATAGTAATAATTTTCGACCATTGGTGAGCATATCAGCGATCACAGAGTCAGAATCAGTACATTTAAACTTGGTTGTAGTTGCAGCTACTGGAATACGTTTTTACTTCAGTTGCACTTCAGTTGCTAATCCGACAACCAGACCGCAAGGTCTGCAATTAATACATGTCAGATTACCACCGCGTTATGCTGCTAATGCTACAGTAATGAGACCAAGAAAGGTACAAATGGCACATTATAGAAAAGGTATACATATGAACACTCTGCTGTTAACCCTTTCGCTATCCAATAAAATTAAAAACGCTCAAAAAATAAACTGTTTGCCCGTACGATGCGTAAACTAAGCGAAAGGGTTAAATATAACATCACTATACTATAAAATATATTATAACAGTTATACTATAAAACATACTTATTATAGGAACATTAATTCTTGTTTGTGGCGGAGATACAGAAACAGTTTTATGTTTAAGTAACGATGCTTATCCATTCACAAATTATTTAGCTGAAACTCAAAGTCTTTTATCGCTCGATAGTACGGTATGGGCAATGGCAGAAATTCTTGTAGAACCAGCTATACGTATTGAAAAACAAAATATCACTCAAGAGGAGCCTCCTCTTCTCGTAAGGCAGCACATGGAAGCACCTCGAAAATTTATCTTTTTAACTTCTCAGGTATAATTTGAAAACATATCAAATGTATTTATCGATGAGTCATTTATTTATTTAATTACAGGGTGCTATAATTTATGTTCAAGTTCGTCCAATGGACATATTAAAGCAGCTTCTTTTAGAACAACGTGGCCCTGATACTGAAGCTGTTCGTGCATATTTTCAATCACAATCATTGGAGCAAGCATGTGCAACTTGCCTTATTTTAGCCACGCTTGAAAGTTCTCAGAATGCCGAAGTATTAATTCAGATTATACTTAGAAAATGAAATTTTTTAGAATTAAATTGTAATGTTTTATTGTAATTTGTTTATAAGTTGGCAGAATGGGCAACGAGAGCATTTTTTTTATATGGTAGTCAACGAACAACAAGTATTGGACCTGCAATTGATGTACATGGTAATAATTTCACTAAAAATACAAATATCACATTACTATATTATAAATATAAAGAATTATTATTTATTATAAATACAAGTGCTTTTGTTTTCCATTGTAACTATAAATGCAATAATGTAATATACTATGAGTGTTTTAGGTGATATGCGCACATCGACACCAAGAGCTCCAAACTATGATTTAAGACTTCAAGGATTTCGACCTCATGTGCCAGTTGGACATAATACGGATTCTCTGCAACAGTTTTCTGCTAAACACAATGGTTTATATCTGTATGTAGGAAGAATACTTCGACCAATATGGAACATGCGTTGTATTAAACAAGAAGTTATAAATAACAAAACTCAGGTGACTGCAATCGATACAGATTTTTCCAAATGGTTTTGTTTTCACATGTTGTGTTTATTCATTATAATTTCAGATCTCTAGTACAATTTCAGCAAGACAAGTTAGTTGGATTTTAAGTCTTCTACAAGCATTGAGATCATTTCTCAATAAAAATACCCATATTGCTAAGCAGTATGTCTTTATATGTTATCTCAATAGCCTTACAAATGATTCAATTTTACTTGAACTATTTGTTGATCTTTAGACATAATACTACCAGAACAACTGATGGATTTGAGACAACTATATCTAGTCATTACCAAGGACCAATAGTTGAAGAAAGGAATTCCTTAGCTGCATTAAAAATTTTCATTACTCATGCCTGTGAAGTGTTAGAACTTTGGAAAATTTTATGTGAAAACCACTTGAATAATATTGTAAATTGCTTATCAAAGGTCACTCAAATATATAGTATAATTTTTTTAATAAAAAATTTTACCTGTTATAAGGCGTTAATATTTTTGTATTAATTTATAGGATCAAATTAATCAATTTTCTACGGCGACGTTTCGAGATTTAATTTTAATTGGACATGAAATTCCTTCATTATTAATCATTCATCTTATAGATAGGTAAGATAATTAATTGTCTATTAATAAACTAATTAAATTAACAAACTATTTACTAATTTTTATAAATCTCTTACAGTTACCTTGGAGATAATGCATCTGTTGATGCTGTAAGTCAAAGATTGCGAGAAGTTTGCCCAAATTTATATAGAAGTGAAGATGCTGTTTGTTCTAAGGTATAAGAAATGAAATTTAGAATGTCACGATTTCATTTTTGCATATTGTTAACGTTTCTATAAATTATAGGCGAATGAAATAATTTTAAAAGCTAAAAATTGTACAAATCCAGAAGAAAAGGAGTGCTATTTGCAATCTGCTTTAAAAGTAAGCATTTTGATATTATTGTGTTATATCACAATTCTCTATTTGCATTTATATTATCTATTTATATTTTTCAGCTTTGCAAAGAAGTTGCTCCCAGATTGAACTTAAGTGCAGTATGCCAACAATTTATCGCTTGTCAATTCTATTCGGGTGTACTTGAATTATGTCTTTCTTGTGCGGAAAAAGTAGATCCTAATAACGCTGCCTTACACTATTATAAAAATAATGAACCAATCGAAGATCAAGAAGCTTACACGAAAAGGTATTGATCGTGAAATTATATTTTAATAGTATTATATATTTAATAAATTATTCTAATTATTCAAATAATTGTTTCTATGTAGATTAGAGATTTATAAAGAATTCATTACACTACTGGATCATCTCTACAATCAAAGTATCTCTAATCCATTAACACCTACTATACCCAGTAAACCTGGCCCTCCGCTACAAAATGGATCAACGATGCCTGTTACACCAGCAAAGGAAATAGTATGATCTTTTTCAAAGTTAAGTTATTTCCAATATAATAACAATCATTGACTCCTTTATATAAATATTTATATGTTTTAGTTGCATGACATTATAACTGATGCATTACACTCTATGTGTGAAATTCTTCATGCTTTAGTGTATGCTTGGATGATAGAAAGAAGGCTTCACGGAGAACTCGTTGCTCTAGCAGCACCTTCTTTAGAAGCGTATCTTACTCGTGTCAATGCACCAGACTTACTATGGCAGTATTATGAAAAGAATAAAAATCATGCTGCTGCGGCTAAAATTTTAGATGCTTTGGCGACCAAAGAGTATGTACAGACATACGTAGCCATTAAGTTTATTAAATTTATACTTCTTTCTTTTTTTTTTAATTCAAAAGACATTACTTTTTATTTTTCATTTTTTTTTTGTTTTCTTTAAACATAGATCAAATATACCGTTATCACAGAGAGTTGAATATTTAGCTCGAGCAGTGGTTTGTATGAGAAGCGACCAAGCTGGATACGCTCCATATCTTGGTATATTTTTACGTGAATTAGAAGACAAGGTAGAAGTTGCTAGAATACAACAACAGGTACCTGATTATAAACATCGTAATAAAAATAATGGACTTATTTAGAGTATAATTTGCATGCTGATGTCACTTTCAGATATTAGATACGATTTGTAATCAACATCTGAGTGATAGACTTAGTGAAGAAGCATTCAGAGGATTAAATTCTTCGTTACTTGATATTACAAAGGTACGATCCAATTATTTGAGTTAAGTTATGAGTTAAGATACTTATATTGATCTTTCAAAATTTACGTTTGTCAATCATTAATTGTCGATTGTAGTTATACGAAAAATATGCGGACCCTTTGCAGTTGTGGGAGTGCAAATTAGCTATAATTCATTGCTCTGGTCATCAAGATGCAATGTTAATTCAGGAAATTTGGACTAATATAATAAATAACGGTATTCATATTCTATTTTACATATATTTATACGAATTAAAAAGATATTTACATTTTAATATATATTTATAGAATTAAAAAGATATTTACATTTTAATATATATTTATAGAATTAAAAGATGCTTCAACGGCGGAAGATAAAATGACTATTTTAATGAGCAAAATTATATCCTTAGGACAGGAATATTCGGGATCACCTCACTGTTTCCCAGTTGGTAATAATAACTTTTTTACGATTCTTATAAAATAATGAGAATATATGAAATGAAATTATAAAATATTTTGTCGATCTATTTTTTTTTCTTTTTTTCCAGATTTCTTAGTAAAACAGTTAGAAATAAAAGCATGTAAATTAAATGTATCAAATACTGGAATTATAACTGGGTTTTTACAATTAGGAGTATCAATGGAGGATCTTTTAGACATTTACAAGTAAGTAATAGTTTGCGCAACGAAACATGTTTCATACTTTTCTTGATAAAAAATGCACATTTGTTCTCAGAATGATTGGCAAAGATACTCGAACTTGGCTAAACGAAGGGAACGAATTTCACCTTATCGAATCGACTGCGAATTTGGTTAATCACTTTATATCTCATTCAAACATTACCAACACCTTCGTCAAGTAAGTATTCATCTGTCGAACAGATATAATCACAAGCCAAGTGTTTTTGTTGGTTGCGTAAATTCTGTTGGATTAATGTTAAAAATGATCGAATTACAGACGAAAAATAATAACGAAGTGCCAGGACGTAATTTCAAAGTGTTTAACTACATTGTACAGCAAGCCTCATGGACAAGAGTTGATAACGAAACTTAGATCGATTCAAAACATTCTGATTCGTATGTAAGAAGAAATTTGTACTGTTTTTATGATGAACTAATATTTGATAAAATTATATACAAATCATGTTGAAATGAAAATTAAAACATGCAATGAAAATAAACCGGTTTTTTTCTGCGAGAATTATATCAAGAAATAAATGAACGTAAGGTGTAAAATACGAGGTGTAAACCACAGAGCACAGGTACTCAAATATTTTTCATCCACGTTATAAGCATTTCTCTTTCCATTAATAAAATTCACGTGTTCCAAAATATCGTTCTTTTATTCCGCAAATTATGCGATAAAAATTTTTCGTGTAATTTAAATTCCTAACATCTACAGACTTTAAACATTTTATACATTTTATATATTTACATATTTATTTACAGCGTGTTTTCTCACGCATTTCCAAAGAAAAAACAATCATAAATTGTGGTATAATATAATTTCAATTTGATTTCTGCATCGACAGTTAACGTTAAATTTTATTACAACGTGAAGGTACGAAATTCTCATTTAAACTTCAAAGTATGTACGTGGATATTTTCAACGTTATATCCTATTATTTTATGCTACAAGTTTGTCATTGATGACCTTTTCAAATCTTTGTACACTGACAAGTTACATATAAATTGTAAGTCGAAGGCGATTCCAGCGTTAACATAATACGTGGTGAAAAGGATCATTTTGTTTTACAGGTACGCTATTTCTTTTTATTTAGAGCTGGTGTATTTGGTAACTGCTTTAGTACCTTCGCTTACTGCGTGCTTGGCTAATTCGCCCGGCAAGAGAAGCCTCACGGCAGTTTGAATCTCCCGGGAGGTGATCGTGGAACGTTTGTTATAATGTGCCAATCTCGATGCCTCGGCGGCGATACGCTCGAAAACATCGTTGACAAAGCTATTCATGATACTCATCGCTTTGCTAGATATGCCGGTGTCAGGGTGCACCTGTTTGAGTACTTTGTAAATGTAGAAAGCATAGCTCTCCTTCCTCCTCCTCTTTTTTTTCTTGTCGGCCTTGCTGATGTTCTGGGCCTTGCCGATGTTCCGGGCCTTGCCAGCTTTCTTCACAACTTTTCCACTTACTTTCGGTGGCATGTTTTTGTTAACGAGTGTAAATCGTTGGAAAGAGAAATCAAAGACAAATTTCGAAGATCACTGCCAATGTTCAACTGTCGCGAAGGTCGATTGACAAATGTTGCCAGGAGAGGGTCACCTTTCACTTATATATCTGAACGAGGCAGCAGCGATCCACCAATTGGAACGTTCCAGTTAACGTTAAATTTTATTACAGCGTGAAGGTGCGAAATTCTCATTTAAACTTCAAAGTATGTACGTGGATATTTTCAACGTTATATCCTATTATTTTATGCTACAAGTTTGTCATTGATGACCTTTTCAAATCTTTGTACACTGACAAGTTACATATAAATTGCAAGTCGAAGGAGATTCCAGCGTTAACATAATACGTGGTAAAAAAAATTTTGTTTTACAGGCAAGCTGTTTCTTCTTATTTAGAGCTGGTGTATTTGGTAACTGCTTTAGTACCTTCACTTACTGCGTGCTTGGCTAATTCGCCCGGCAAAAGAAGCCTCACGGCAGTTTGAATCTCCCGGGAGGTGATCGTGGAACGTTTGTTATAATGTGCCAATCTCGATGCCTCGGCGGCGATACGCTCGAAAATATCGTTGACAAAGCTATTCATGATACTCATTGCTTTGCTAGAAATGCCGGTGTCAGGGTGCACCTGTTTGAGCACTTTGTAAATGTAGATAGCATAGCTCTCCTTCCTTCTCCTCTTTTTTTTCTTGTCGGCTTTGATGTTTTTCTGGGCCTTGCCGGCTTTCTTCACAGCTTTTACATTTACTTTCGGTGACATGTTTTTGTTAACGAGTGTAAATCGTTAGAAAGAAAAATCAAAGACGACAACTGAAAGACAAAAGATCACTGCCAACGTTCAACCGTCGCAAAGGTCGGTTGACAAATGTTGCCAGGAGAGCGTCATCTTTCACTTATATATGTGAACGAGGCAGCAACGATCCACCAATTGGAACGTTCCGTGCCTGTCGGCTGGAATTTTTCGTACATTTATGTATGTACTTCAACATATATGTAAATTTATATTCAATTTTTTTTAACAAATAAACATTTTTTTGTGAAAGAATTAAAAAATTTTCTATTTAAATGAGATGATACAAATATGATTTTCTCGTAACATAAATGATATATATATATATATATACAAATTATATAATTATTAAATAATTTATTGTTATTTGCTATGTAATTTATTAATTTATTCTATCATTATTCTCTCTATAATTGTGTTTTAATTTATGTTTTAATTTGTTCTATATTCAATATAATTTATTATATTTGGTATGATATAATAATTGAAGAATAATACACAAGGAAATTAATATAAGGTAGATTTTCGTATGAAATTTTGGATAAATCTATAAAAATTGGGATTTGTTATAATATAATTGTATAATATAATATAATTGTTTTTTAGAATTATATTTATTTGTATATATTTTAGAATTATAATTGTTTAGAGAATATGACCTGCAAATTTAGAATTTAAACAATAATGGATTTATGACAATAATTACTTGTCGTTAGATAATTGCACGGTAGAAATAAACAATAAAAAGATAGAACTTTTTAACAATACATGAGATTTCAATTATTCACAATCGATAAAAAAAATTGATAACAATTCCAGAATTATTTTAAATACATTATATATATATGCATATATGCGTATACGTACATACGTACACAAAACCAGAAACACTGATTCCAAAACTGGATATTATACAATCTAAGAATTCTACGTAATTAGAAACGGAAAAGATAAAAATAGACGATCACGTTTTTTACATATTCATACAAATTCACACAAAAATTCATAATTTTAGAAGAAAATTTGATCTGTGCCAATACATTTATTTCTTATCACATTCCGTATTTTTACATATGCAAATATAATTTATCTTGTTTCTTTTTCTATACAAATTTTTCATTACAAAGAATTCTTTGTTACAGTAGCAGCATATATATTTTATATATGTATTGTGTATATACTCGTTAAATTTTCTATTCTTAAACAGAGTAATAATTTTAATGATTTTTCAACGATTTCTTTTCCAATATTTACAAGACTAATCGTGTAAACCTACATTGAAAATATTCAAGAAGTAACTATCAAAAGTATACTAATAAAGAATAATACTATTGAGAATGTGAAAAAAGAAAGAGAAGAAGGAATGAAAAGAAAGTGTAAGATGTATATTTGGAAATTTACCTTTAAAAAAGAATTTTGCGCAAACCTATTGTTAGTAGTTTCCTGAGCAATATATTTGAGCAGATCGTAAGTAAAATAAGACGATTATATTCATCACGCGATATACAAACTATTGTAAAACTGCCAATAATTGTATTGTCAAAAGATGCCTAAGTTATGAAAATTATTTTACTCTCTATACACAAATGAAATTGTCCAGACATTTTTAAAATTGCGCACTAAAAGTAATAATTACAATATAATTTATATGTTATATATAAATTTTCCATTTTAGGGCATAGAATATAACAATAGAATATAACAATACTGTAGAATTAAATAATTATATACATATATTGAAAGAAAAAAAGTAGAAGAGAAAAAAAGAGAAAGCTAGAGAGAGACAGCATTATACGAAGCAGTTATACGAAACATCTGGTTCTCTCCACCAATCGCAATGCTTCTCGTTGACGATTGGTCAAACGCCAGCTCCTGCCACGGCTATAAATAGCTTTCTGCTGGGCCACCGTGGTCAGTTGTTGCACCTTGTTGTGTAACGTTTTGTTTATATCCGAGCGCATCGTTGGAAGAAAATGTCCGGCCGTGGCAAGGGTGGCAAAGCGAAAGCTAAGGCGAAGTCTCGTTCCAACAGAGCTGGATTGCAGTTTCCAGTCGGTCGTATCCACAGACTCTTGAGGAAGGGGAATTACGCCGAGAGGGTTGGCGCTGGGGCTCCGGTCTACCTGGCTGCGGTTATGGAATATCTGGCTGCTGAAGTGCTCGAATTGGCGGGAAATGCTGCACGCGACAACAAGAAGACAAGAATCATCCCGAGACATTTGCAACTTGCCATCCGTAATGACGAGGAGTTGAACAAGCTTCTCTCTGGCGTTACCATTGCGCAGGGAGGCGTTCTTCCCAACATCCAAGCTGTGCTTTTGCCAAAGAAAACGGAGAAAAAGGCTTAGGCCTCAGTTCACATTGACAAAAGGGCCCTTTTCAGGGCCACAATTACTTTTTGTACGGGGCGCAACACGTCGGTTTATGAAAACCATTTACCATTATCATTCATTCTTTTAATACTGGCGATTGTCAGATGCTTAATAATACAAGTCTAGCAATATATACATTAAGGAATCTGTGCTTCAATGAATATTATTATAAAACACGTAAGAAAGAATCAATATTTTTCTTTCTGAATCACGTACTCATCACTGTACTTGTCGTTTCAGTACAAATTCTTTGCTATCGACTTTGGCCGTCGATAATGCTAATGTGTTTCTAAACATTTTATCCTAGTAATTTCGTATTGCTCGAAAGAGTCAGAATTTATTTTTGTACCGATGTATCAATAAAGCATGAAGATTAATTTTCGTTATGCGTGTTTAAAAATACCATTATTATCTAGTATTATTCAATAATGTTTTGTAGTATTAACAAGAGCGAATTGTGGTTTGATGCAGTAACTTCATCAATGCATCGATTTTCTGTAACGTGAGTTTATTATTTATTAATATGATACAATTACACAACAGTCGAAACGAAATAAATTATAGTTTACGTTGAATTTTTTGTTTATATTGAATTTTTTCCTTTTTATGAAGGTTAAACGACTTAAAACTTCAATTTGCAATTTAACTATGTATTCGAAACGTTTAATCATGTTCTAATCTAATACAAATTTACATTCTATATCTATCGTAAGTATGTAGTTCCAAGAATCGAGTATGTAAATAACAAAATTCATGCAACAAATAAACAAAAGTAAATCAATCATTGCGAGGTTCACAATTTGCGATTACATTGTAATTTCGTTTTTTTTTTACAAATCTGATAACGAGTCGAGAAACATAACGGGTGTAAATATCGTACAGTGAGCATAAATATTATACAAAAGGGTCGTCTAATTTACAAAGATCCGTTCAGATTCTAAAACTCCAAAACAAGTTTTTTGCTTGGAGTGTACTTTCGTTTTAATAAAAAGTATTACAATGAAAAAAGAAATAACGAGTTATTTTGCAGATCAATCGAACATCCAACATAATTCGCAAATACGGTTGTATTTTTGCGGTGGATCAGTTGGCAACACTCATTCAGAAGAGAGAGTGGAAATTTCTAAATCCGGCTTAAAGTTGCATGCACTGGTATGTACGTACGGTAGTTTTGTTGAGCGAATGACGTCCAGAGGAAAAAAATGATCTCGCACGCGTGTGTAATATGAAACGAAGAAAACTGGCCAACTTTTAAGCATGCAGTGTTTCTATTAACGGTCGATTTGTTAGCGGTAAGTTCTGGATTGATTCGTTTGCAAGTATCGTTCGCTGCTCATGTATATAACCTTGTTTCTTGTCAATATGTAGCACGTAAGTTCAGAACGTCCAAGTTTGTAAAATAAAATCGCGGTCCGTCTACTCGCGCACACGTAAAAGAAAAACTGTATTATCTGTATTAACGCTGACCGAAAGTACACGTGATACATTTTCCCCGGTGATCGAAATTGCGATCGTTTTATAATTCAACTTTGTCGGTAGTGTATTTCAATGCTTTATTGTAGTTATGTTATATTTTTAAGTTATATACATATGTATATATGTATCAGTATGCAAGGAAATTTTTAGAAATTACTAAGATTATTTGTAAGATGAGAAAAAGTTTATTTATTTTACAAAATGATAATTTACTAACTGTGGTATTCATTTTCATTGTAGACAACAGCCCAAGGTGAATAGAATTTTCTTAACAAGACGGCATGTTTGTAAGAGTCTGGTTGAGAATTCTAACGGGGGATGAATGAGGAAGAATTGTTGAAGCGGTCTGCTGCAGAGCGAGATAGAATATTTAGCTGCTATGACCGTGGTAGAGAAAATGGAGCAGAGATCGATCCTTGGGAAGATCCTACGTTTGAAGTGTATCATACCACAGACAGATATGGATTCATACAGTAATTGTGACAATGATTGTGGTAATACTACTATTATGTTTTTTTTATTAATATTTGGCCTTTAATTTCAGTGACAAACGTTTGCCACAGAAGCCAGATCCTAACGAGATCAAGACTCACCGGGTGGAAATGGAGAGATTGAAGAAATGGGAGAAAATGACAAAACAATGGGATAGCTCTTCGACTAAAGAGAAATTACGGCGCAGAGTATACAAAGGCATTCCTAATAGATTTCGTGGTCAAGTCTGGGCATTGTTGTTGGGTATTAAAAATTTAAAGAGAGAACAAGCTGGCAAATACGAAGAGATGTTACAACTTGCACGTCAGTGGTCTACAGAAATAAGACAGATCGATGCTGATGTAGCTAGACAATATAGAGATCATATCAATTATAGGTATGTATAATATATATGATGATAAAAGTCATGATCACAATGATTATTGAAAATTGTGTTAAATCATTGATTATTTTCAACAGAGAAAGGTATAGCATAAAACAACGATCTATGTTTTATGTATTGGCTGCATACAGCATGTACAATATGGAAGTGGGTTATTGCCAAGGAATGTCTGTATTAGCTGGATTGCTTTTGTTATATATGGATGAAGAAGACGCATTTTGGGGTCTTTCTGTGTTACTTGCTGATAAGAAATATACAATGCATGGTCTGAGATTGTCTCGCAAATACAATATTAAAAAATATTTTAGTTTAATATTAAATACATATATATATATGTGTTTATAGGATTTTATGTTGATGGATTTCCAAAATTAAACCGTTTTATAGAACATCATGATAAAATTATGAATAAATTCTTACCAAAGTTGAAACGGAAACTAGATAAGTGCGGTTGCGATTCTATTCTTTATGCGCTAAAATGGTTTTTTGTTGTGTTTCAAGAGAGGGTAAGAATATTTTGCAGTTTATCTTTTTAAATGAATACGAAATTTATTCTACATATGTATCGTATTTAAATACAATTAAACAGACACCTGTTAGCCTCGGTCTTCGAATTTGGGATATATTTTTATTAGACGGAGATCGTATTTTACCTGCTATGGCGTACACAGTCATGAAAATGCATAAACGTTTTCTTATGCCGATGGAAAGTTTAGATGAATTTTGTAATTATTTACAAATTAAATTAGAGAAAGATTTCTGTTTTGACGATGATACAGTAATAAGTACTATGGAACGTAGTATGGAAGAATTAAAACGTGCTAAGTTGGATTATCCTGGCCCTCCCTTGCCACACGAATTGCCACGATTTCCATTTGGCACATTTAAGGAACCTACTTTTGCAAGCAAGGTAATTCATGATATTCCTAAAAGTAAGTAATTGGAATGATCTTGTTATTTAATGCGCATTTGAACATGGTTTAGGTTGGAAGACGTAGCGAAGAATTTAGCGAAGCACAACACGTAATGCGAGAATCTATAACGCAACGTAGAGACCTGGTACTCGCTGATGAGGATAGAGAAAGTACAACACCCGTTGAACAAACCAGTTGTGGTCTTGGCGGTGAGTTACGATATAGTGAAAAAATAGTACACGGAAACACAGATACTTGCCTTCTATATTCTAAACAAGAGAGTATTATTAAGGACGAAGATAAAGATAGTACAGATGCAGATGAAATTGATATAATGGTTATATATAACACTAGATTGTAAGATACTTTTCAAAGATTAAGTTCTGAGATTAAAGAAACTATTATAATATTGCTCAATTACGTATATACATACACGTATACATAAGTAGAATTTTACAAAAATATTATATAGACCATATTTTGAAGTATTATAATTATTGCTATATAATCGTAAGCAAATTTTTTTATACATACATATACATATACATATATATATATAGCATCATTTAGAATGAAACTATACTTGCCTTTAAAATTGTATGAAGAATTCTCATTGATAATTTTTTTTCTATGAAATAAAAAGTAAGAAATAATAGACTGTGATTATTTTAAAATGCTCAGGAAATTTCATACAAAAACATTGAAAAAAAGAAAAGCGCTGAATACCAGTGTCTTATTACATTGTTACACAACAGAAATATTAAATTATATTTAATTCATATTTCACTTAATTGATTAATACTTAATTGATTAATCATTCGTAAGAAAGAAACTATGACGAGTTGTTGGAAACAAGTTTTAAATCAAATGTATTACACTTACTATGCGAAATTTTGCCAAAACACGTTTGTTCAGATATCCTGTTGCAGTATAATAAAAATTATATATATGTGCAGGAAGCAAATTCTCATTTGATCCAAGTCTTGATGATGGGGCCTCTCCCAATGGCTCACGCCGATCATTGGCAGATACATCTGTTACCTCGACAGCTGACCTTTCTGTATTTAGTTCGGCAACACGGTCTCAAGCGTTAGATAATAGTCTTGATACTCAAAGTAACATTTCTAATGCCAGCTCTGGCAGTGGTGGTTTACCCACACCCAGGGCAACGCCTCATCAACCAAGTCCAGATATTGTACGAATTTATGTACCATATACGTCGCCAATGTCTGGCTCATATAAAGATGATCTTCCACGTACACTTCCGCGGTCTTTAGAAACAAATAGAATCCGCATACGAGTTGATCCTGATCAGACACCGATAGTGGAAAATCTGAAACCTTTTTCATTAGAGAGTCCAGAAGTTGAATTAGACTTGAAATGATCAATCTATCGATTCGATAATACTTTATGATACAGTAAACGATGCAATCAGCAAATTGAATGAAGATTTAAATAAACAAACATTTTGTCATTTGTTTTATCTATATCTATATTATAAGTAACATAGAGAAATGATAGTGAAAACAAATGGTGATTACAATAGAAACGTGAGAAATAATAAATGTTAAAACGTTGTGCATATACATACTCCTTTTTTTCTTTTTCTTTTTTAAGGCAAGCTAAGAGACTCGAAGTAAATGTCTTCATTCAGCTAGAAATCTGTGTATGCACTGATTACGAATAATTGTAACCATTCGTATCGAACGAAACTTATTGCACTGTTGCGATGGCCTAATTTACGTTTATAGTCAAACACGAATTATTTAAAAAATGTATAATAGAAAATTATCATTTCCAGTATATATATATATATATTCCTAATTGAATGATCAACGATATTTTAAATAATGAAATTATATCTATATAACTTGTCGAATAATTCTAAAAATAACTGCATAATACTTGTCATACATCAAGTTATACTTCAAAGAATAAGATGATGGAACTTTATGCAGAATGATACACGAACGAATTATATGCTAAATATTTGTAACAGTAGATATTTGAAAAGAAATGTCGAACTATTGTATGAATATTAGTATGAATATAAGACATTACGATAACATAACGAATAAGTACGTAAACTTTTAGCATAATGTGTAGGTAATTTCTAAAATATGTTTTTAAATCCCCTTTGTCTCTCCCTCCTTCCCTTTCACTGTCTCTCCCCCTCTTCCTCTCTCTGACGAACAGGATATACAAGATATTTTGGAGTATAATAAAAAATTGGCCATTATACATATGTATAAAAGTATGAGTCAATTTTCCATAGTAAATGTAATACTAAAAAAAAAGAAAAATATTTTTGTTACTACGAGCATATAAACTCCCTTGAATAATGATTATTATATTTTCAGTATTTTGTACATTTCTCTAACTAAATTCCTAAAACTATCTATCTAACATTATGAAAAGAGTATACATAAAGTTCCATACTCTAGAAGTATTCAACGAGCAAATAATTTTGCATTACAAGTATCCTTTACAATACGAATAGAGAGAAAAATGTTTATATTAATGAATATTTACTCTTTTAGTAGCCACAAATAGAAATGAATGAACATTAAAAAGGATGTTGCTTTAGAATTTTTTCCACGCGAATTTTTAAACGTAGCATATTATTATTCGGCAATAAAATTGAATAGCAAACACTTGTTTTACGTGTCAAAATATTTAAGATTGTTTAGTATAAAGATCGACTAACATTGTCAGATATTGTTAATAGATTAGGATTTTTATATTATCAATCATTCTAAGATAATTAAAATGTTTAGATTATTGTTAATTAATTATTTTGGGAATAATTATAAGTTGCTAAAATATATAATTTATACGATATTATCATGAAAACAATAAAATTTTAGTTAGATTATCATAAGATAATAATCATATCTTCTCAAAGAAATTATATTCTATTAATGAGTTAAGTACTATACTGCCACAATAATGTTAGTACTTTATTTATTTTAAGTTCCATTCTTTTTTTTATACCGATCAATATGTATTGTTGTATATATGTAGTATTTAAAGAAGAAAAAGAGGGAATCTTTTATTACACGATATTTAAAATAGATTCCTGAATAGGAGAACTTGCAAGACATTTGTGAAAACTTTCGCCAAGGAATGTGAATACTGAACAGTCCACTAACATACTATTTATTGTGTTAAATGTACAAAGACGTATTTTAGATTAATTACAATCGAGAAACATGCTTCATACTTATTGGTTTTATAAAACATTCCTGGACATACAGTATTCCTTGATGTATATAGATTTTGAAATTTATTAATTATATAATGTAAACCTGATAGAAATCACTTGTTATATCTAATAGCATAAGGTAATATTTGTTAAATAAATATTAAATGTTAATGGTTCGAGTCTTTATTACATTGTAAAAAAAAAAAGATCAACCAAATAATGTACAGTTCTATAGTAATACTTTCCTGTGGTTGCATGACATTAAATTTCTAGAAAAATTAAAATAAAATAGATCGATTACCTTATATATAAATTATTGAAAAATATGGAATTGTATAGATACAGAAAAGAGATATAGCGATAAATAAAAAAAAAAGTACGTAGTGTTATGTACGTAAATTTACCTTAAAGAAATGTATTCCTTTGACTTACATTAAAATTAAGGGACATAATTCGTCGTCAATTTTTAGGCTTATTTATATTTGGATTGCCATATTTATTCACGAATATTCTTGTACATTAAGTTAAAAATAAGTAATATATTCGCCGATTAAAAAACGTCACAACTCTCTCCTTTATTGTTTCATATAAGTAATACATAATGTCAATAAATTATGTAAACCTTAATATTTTGCTTAGTAAAACTTTAGACGTAACATAAAATCATTTTAGACTGACCAAATTAATTTTTTAAGATTTATTTTTTTATGAATGAATTCGTTAAAATATTTTAAGTCATTTTAATACTCAAACAGATTTATAATAACAGAAAATAATGAAGTAGAGTATAACTTTATTTTAAATAAATGAATAAATAATAGGTTTAAATTAAAAATGATATTTAAAGGAATTAGAATAGAAGTCTGAAACAAGGAAGTTATAATGTCTAGAGCTTATAAGTATAACACTATGTATTAAAATCAGTAACTGATGTTTCTTCTACTGTTGGAGCAATATTTTGTAGACTGGAACATGAGTTGTGAATAACTGATTTCATATTACTAGTATGATAAAAATGTCTTTATTAACTACAAAAAAAGTTTGAGTATAAGATTTTTTTACTTAAACAAAACTTAAAATGAAACGATATATGTTAAAAGGATGTATTCATGATTTTGTTCAATATTCACATTCACATGCATTACACAGCAAATTAAAGTTCAAATATAATATCCGATGACACACGTTTATTTAAAATTGTACTTCGAGTCGATATTTTTTTTATACAAAAATTGGGAAAACACTATATGTAGATTTCAATATAGTATTTGTAGGATGTTTAAAAAGAAAAATACAACACGATAATGCAATATGTAAACTTCTTGATGCTTGATGACATAATCATGTTGTAAATTGATTAAAATTATCAAAATAATAAATAATAAAAATCGCACATTGAATATTTTTTATTTTTAGGAATTTTCTTTTTATCGAAAATTCCTTTTAATTTCTAAATTTATATAAAAAACTATTGAATAACTATTGTAGGAAGCATATTTATATTTACAAGTCTTCAACAAATGAAAATCTGTATATAATGAATATTATTTGCATAACTTAATTTTATTTTTTATTATACTTGTTTTCATATATGTACAAATTCTATAAAAGCTCATCTCTTCTAGAAGATAGTTACTCTATATAAGATTAGAATTTCAGTGTGGTATAATATCAATTTATACATTTTATACATGAAACATATATAATTAAATATTAGTTGAGCAATTATTGTCGAATGCAATACAAATATAAAAAAAATTATTTAGGGTAACTACTTCTATATCACGACTTATCTTAAGAGAAAGACGTTATTTTATTTAAACGGTAATTTATATGCAGTTCAAAGAAAATATTATTTACTAAATTAATAATAGTAACTGTGTTCATTAATGTCATTACTTGTATTAATACTTGTATATGTACCAAATACTTATGTTTTGTTCAGTCTTCAATATGGATTATAGATTTTTTGACAAAATATATATACCAAAGAAAAATATCTTTAATTAATGTTTGATATAATAACAAGGATCAATTCGAAGGAATATATAAATGCAACAATGTACTGTAATAGTAAATTTAAAAAAAAAAGTATATAGCACAGAAGTGATTTTACTATTGGTTTTTCAAATACAAGTAAATGCAATATTTTATTACTATGTTGTGCTTTGTAAGTGGAAATTGTATTTGTTAATAGGTATTGGCTTTCCATTAATTATCACTTGCGGCCCTGTATAATAACGCCATAAAAGGCTGTTCCCTCTTTTTAATTGATTGGTAGCTGAAAGGTGAGACCAGCAATCTAACCAGCTATTGTAAATTGGCATTTGTGGGGGAAGACCAGCAATTAACCTTCATGAATAAGATTTATTAAATCAGCATTTACTTTAATACTTGTAAAAGTTTCAAAAGTTATCTTTATTTGAAATCAACTTACCCGCAATTATTAACTGCCATACAATGTGATACCACTAGAAATGGATATGTAATTGTTGTTGCTATGAACTATAAAAAATAAGTTGTAATATTTATCATGATACACGTGCTTTAATTATTTAATTAATTAAATAATTAATTTATTTACTCTTATTGTGGAAACTGCATACGGTTTCAATTCGCGATCGCTTATAACGTACTTATCAAAAGCATAAGTACATGAACTGACTAGCATTAGTACAGCGGCATTTCCAATGAGGCGAGGCAATAATCCTGCATAATATCCCATGATGCCATTCTCTCTGTATACTTCCACAATCGATCTAAATAATCCACTATTAATGCATGAAACAAAGAAAATAACTATAAAAATATCATCTGTAATGAAGATATTAATGAAAATGTTATATGGTATCTATATATATTCTATATGTATATCTGTATTTTACATTCCGTATTGTAATATTTAAATACTTGTATTTTGTTTCTCCACCAACAAACTGTGCCATCATCCTCAGTGCGATAACATCCAATGGATGACTAACTATAATTCCAATCATTCTACTAAACAGGTCTCGTATGAATTCGTATATACATTTTTTATACTTCTGACTACAAAAACAAAAAAAAGTGTATATCTTTGCAACTCTTAATTTCAAACATTATACATACATGTATTGTACATTTACCTTTCTTCCAAATCACCATCATAAATCTCTATGCTCGGTTCATCCTTAAATTTAATACATTTAGATGTCTTTTCGAAAGCTACAGCACTCACAGTATAGGCACATAATTTTGGGACAAGACCACGGTAGCAGCCAGTAAATCCGTCTACATTCTTAATGTATCTAACTGCAAAGTAATCAGAATGGCTTCAAATGATAATAATCTTCCAGTTTAAATTAATACTTATGGAAGGTAAAATTGCATACCGTACTGGAAAACATTAGGCAAAGCTAAAGCCGGTTGTCCGAATAAAGTAGTTGTCATTCGTGGTGGAATCGGTTCGTATCCGATCTGTTGTGTCATAAATAAAAATCATGAGCTTCCATTGAACATAGTTTCCGTGTAATTGTTATGTTTTTACCTGTATCAGAACTTTCGCATATTCGATCGGATGAGAGACCGTGTTCATCAACATACGAAGCGCAATATCGGAAAATAGGGGTTCGTCTCTTGGCGGTATCATGTTCAATTGAAATTTATCTTGTCAACGTATCTTGTCACTGTAAAACAGTTTGTTTTGTGATTCAGACGAACAGCTGCGATCGTGTCTCGCTGGATACGTTGAAAATCAGGCGAATCTTGAGCAAGGGGAGTGCATGTCTGCCGTGTTTCGTATCTAGAAACTAAGTAGTGTCAGTTATTAATATATTTCGTGACGGCGAATCGAGAGAAACAAATCGTGTATTCCGTAATTTTTGTTAGATACGAAACTCGATTGCGATCACCGGAAACAGATGAATATAGTATGACTGATGAACTGGCTTTAACTACGAAAACTAACTCCAGTAACCAATCAGTGATTTCAGCACTTCGTTTATCTTTCACATGCCTGGATTAGGAAATCCATCGAAATTTTCGATTTGAATAATTTTCGCGAATAAAAATGAACTACAGAAATATCGAGTCTTTTTGTATATATGTTAATTTTTATGACAATCGTATATAGAATCGTATAAGGAATATGTTAATTTTTATGACAATCGTATAAAATATACAAACTAATGGAGAACATATAAGAGTGAAACTACATTGGGATATTGGGATATTATTAACTACATTGGGAGATTTATTTACTGTAAAAAATAAACATATAATAATTTGATGTGCGCGCGACTGATTTGAATCATGACTAGCGGGAACGTGAAAACTTAGTATTATATATGTACTCGACTATTTGCAGCGCACTCTATCGCTAGATGCTGGAAGATTACTTTCCTAGATTGTTTTCGCCATGGGTACTAGTGAGGTAAAAAAGCACGCGAGAGGAGTACCGTGCTGAGCTCATCTTGCGACTTGTGATTCATCTGTTCTTGCTTGCTATGGCGGAACTCTGCGCGAAGTGACCGAGTAGTTGAATTGTGATGTTTTGTGAGGGCAATAACGAGGTGAGTTTCCGTTCCATTGTTCGTTATTTCCAAAAGAAAAAAAAAAAGAAAAAGAGAAAAAAAACAATCACGTCTCATCGACATATTTCCTCGTGGCGAAAGCGGATGTCGTCTTTTTTTCTTTTCTTTTCTTTTTTTACTCTATATAGAGCAGACGTTCGACGAACACGAGTTTCTCAACAGCAACACGAAGATTTCTCGATTTGACTGCGTGATCGGAACGTGCTAAGTTTCGAAGAAATATTGCTCCTTTGCAGCATTTTTCTCCGAAAAAAAACGTCGATCGAACGTGCTTTGGGGGGATATCGAAGGCAAACGAGATAATGATCATCGCGTAGAAAACAATTGATAAGCAAATCGTTGTTGTTGCCTCGAAGAGATTTACGTATATTCCATATTAGACGAATGTTTCGCGATTGAGGCTGAGCTTCTCGCCGTTCCGCAAATCTGTCAAACGAAAATCTCACGAGTAAAATACTTGGCTGAAGTACTTGCACGTTTCTCGCTTCTCACGTTTGCCGAAATCAGTTGATCATTTATCGCAAGATGCATTTCGTCAAAGCGCAGTACGTAAACTCGACGAATTCCTTGCGTTGAACGAACGTAAACGAGTATAATGTAGATAAAGTCTAAAATAGATCTTTGAGTTATTGATGCTGAAAGATCTTGATTTCAATGGTCTCGAAGAAATAATGATGTTTGTGGGGTGTCGTGGAAATCAAAAGGCGAAGGAAGCATTTCAGTATGACTTTGTTGCAGAATGCCAATACAGGCACCGCAGTGGACTGAATTTCTTTCTTGTCCAGTTTGCTGTCATGACTTCGATGTGGCCATACGTGGCCCAATATCCTTAGGATGCGGTCATACCATATGTCGTACGTGCCTTGCAAACTTACATCGTAAACAATGTCCTTTTGATCAAGTATGTATGATTTTGTCCCGAATTTATGTGAAATTATCCTCTGTAGAATTGTAATTCATTTGCATTTAACAAATTTCAGAGTATTATCAATACAGAGATAGAAAGATTACCAGTAAATGAAGCTCTATTGCAGTTAGTGGGAAATCCTGTTCCGACGAATGTGGCAACGGCTTATCAGAAACTGTTACCACCTGAAGACCATGCAAATTATTTGGTTGCTAAACGTTGTATTGAGGAACTTGCTTTATATCTCAAACCATATCAGGCAAATCCTTCTTTAGCTACAGGTAATGTTAATAATATGGTTGTTTTGGCGACATGATGTTTTATAATCTGGGACTGTATTGTTTGAAACAACAGGTGCAGGTCTTGTTTCTCGACCTATGCAAAGGAAGTTGGTAACTTTAGTTGGTTGTCAATTGGTCGAGCCAGAAGGAAGAGCACGTGCGGTAAGGGCAGCTAGAAGTTTGGGCGAAAGATCGGTTACGGAACTAATATTGCAACATCAAAACCCGCAACAACTTAATGCTAATTTATGGGCTGCTGTAAGAGCTCGCGGATGTCAATTTCTTGGACCAGGTATATTATTATGAAATAGCTAAACAGTAATAAAGAATAAAATAATATATGTATATCAGCTCTTTTGAAAAGCGCTGTCGGTCAATTAAGAAAATGAAATTTGAAACATAAAATCATATTAACTTTCATAATTTATGTGTAAAATATAGGTCTATGTATAATAAATAATCGTTACTTTTAACGATTAGTAAATGTAAATAAAAAAAATATGATTGAAGTTAAGTTCAAAGACAAACAATGCTCGATGAGCGAAAAAACTATTGATTTATTTTACAAAAAAAATATTGGTATTGATTTAAATTAGATAACACTGATAACACGAATTTAACATTATGTTAAACAAGAATTTGTATTTTTCAAACGTATAAATTATTGAAACTAAGATTTTATATTTTTCATCTTTGTAATATTCAATTTTATCATAACCAATTATTGGTGTTGGAAGAATATTCTATATTAATAATCATTTCTTTTATTTATCAGCAATGCAAGAAGAAGTACTAAAACTTGTTTTATTGGCTTTGGAAGATGGATCTGCTCTTTCTAGGAAAGTGTTAGTTATGTTTGTAGTTCAACGTCTAGAATCGCATTTTCCTCAAGCTTCTAAAACCAGTATAGGACACGTTGTACAATTATTATACAGAGCAAGTTGTTTCAAGGTAAGAAATATTCTTTAATGCCTGCTATTGGGAGAAACATTTAAATTCCATTATAAATAAAATGTTCGATTAGGTATCTAAACGAGAAGGAGATTCCTCATTGATGCAATTAAAGGAGGAATTTAGAACGTACGAAGCGTTGAGAAGGGAGCATGATGCTCAAATAGTGCAAATTGCGACTGAAGCTGGTTTAAGAATAGCACCTGATCAATGGTCTGCATTGTTGTACGGAGATACAAGCCATAAATCTCATATGCAAAGTATTATAGATAAACTTCAAACTCCTCAATCTTTTGCTCAAAGTGTACAAGAGTTAGTTATCGCTCTTCAACGTACTCCTGATCCTGGACAATTAAGTAGTTTAAGACCTCAGTTAGAATTGCTAGCTGCAATAGATCCTAGCCCAGGTATAATCTGTTATATTTTGGAAAATTTTATTAAACAAATCATTCGTAACAATTTTGTTTATTCATTTTACTGATTAATTTTATTACAGAAACTGAACCTCCTACGTTAGCAGAGTGTCGAGCAGCATTAGAAGCTGTTAGAACCGTAGTTACAGCATTAGTAGAATTCATTCAACAACATGGTAGTCGGAAAACACAAGATGGTACTCACACTGTTGGTCCTGGTCAACCGAAATATAAAGTGAGCATGTGTCGAGATCTTGCACTTAGAGGATCTTGTCCTAGGTCTACTAATTGTACGTTTGCGCATAGTGACATGGAACTAGATAAGTAAGTAGAGCTAAACCTAAAGAAAGTCTATGTAAATGTATCTCTTTTTATGTATTCTATTTTATTAGATATAGATCGAAAAGTCGAAAATTAAGTCTCAGATCAAGTTTACCTGGATCCAATAACTCGGACGTGAGGACAGATAAATCGGTTACAGGATCTAATAACAAGGCATTCAAACAGAACGATGATTTATCCTATCATTCCATAAAGCCGCATGATAATACTCACAGAGAAAGTAAGTTTTATACAGAGAAAGTATTTGTATAAGATAAAAAATACGAAATGTTGATCCAGAAAAAAATTATTATATTTTATTTTTAGACTTTAATTCTATGAACAAAGTTAATCCAATGCAACATCATAATCCAACAAATGAAAACAATTTTATCGGATCAGTAACGAATTATATGCTACCGTCACCTCAAGGGATGTTACCTATAGTACCGACAAAAAATATGGACGTACATTGTTCTCATTACATTATGCCTAATACACCTATCGATTACACGGCACCTAATGTCAGTATCTGGGATTCGTCGCAGATTTCATCTAATATGACAAATGGAATATCTAATACTAAAAAGGTAATATAATTATTTTTGTTATTCCTTTGGTAAATTAGTAAGCTTTATTATATATATTAAGATATTTCTGCATATTAAAATGTTCTCATGTGTTATAGCAGCGGACCGTTGCTAAAACATTAGCAATGTTACTACAACGTAGGATGGAAATATTAAATCAACTTGAAACGATTGTTAATAAACAAGTGCCACAAATGAAAACAGTATGACTATTGAACAATAATATTTTATTGTTAACGTTGCAATGAAAATTTAAAACACATATTTCTCTCTTTTTCTACTTGCAGAATTACGACATGCAGGGAGATACATTGTCATCGAATTTCTCTATATGGACAAACACGCCAAATAATCCAATGGTTTCTTCAACAAATATAAATTGTAACAATAATTTCCGATGCGCAGATCCCATTCTATTTGATGATGAATTTGTACCATTTGATGTATCATCTAATAGTAAATACGGACCAATTTCTAAACTATCCAAAAACTTAATCAGGTAATAATTTTTTTATGACTTTATTAAATAAAATATTATTTATAATAATGTTTATAAGTTATGATAAATATATTTATAAATTATAATAAATATTTATAAGTTATAATAAATATATTATAATTTTAGATCTTCTAATGGCGTACAATCTACTAATTTTTATGCGGATAGTGGAGCACCTCCTATATCTGCTTATCGACCTATGTCAACTACAAATTCTGTTACTTCTTGGTATTATGGTAATCAACGTAAGTATAAGAAATGTTTTAAAAACAAGAAAAAGAGCAGTAAAAGATACAGAATTTTATTGCAGCTTATGCTACTGTCGGTGCAAATGGAGGAATACAGTCTATTAATAATAGTGGTTTCGGAGATAATTACATTACATTTGGTCGTAATATATCCGATACGTCAACGCACACTCAATTTCCACGACCAGACTGCATGTCTAAAGAGTAAGCTAATATTTAACATATAATTAGTTTTTCATAATAATTTTCCATTATGAATTTGATGTAGATATAATTTTATTTTAAATGTTTAATAAATTTATTTCAGCTTAATCCTTGAATCACAAAAGGTAAAACAACAATTAAAACATCTTGAGAAAAAAATCAATGACTTAAAGGTATTATTTGGTTCTATTTCTTCAGGTTGATTATTATTTTCAAATAAAATATTTAATAACATTAATGTAAAAATTAATACATTTAGCTTGCTACACAAGGAGCGACTTTTACGGCGGGAGAAAGGTTAGCACAAGAATTGCAAATGATTGAAGCTGGTATCAGGGAAAAAGAAAAAGACGTACGAAATTGGAGTCCATATGGTACCGTACCTTGGATTCAATCGTCGAACAATTTACTTAGTTCTCAAAGTTTCCATCAGAATTATAAGCCCGAAGAAGTAAGTTATGCTGTGATATTGTATTAAAAAAAGTATATGAAATTTTTCACATTGTATGAAAATAACTAACAAAAAATTTATATAAAACTTAAAATTGGTTCTTAGGAAGATACATATGAAGCAGGTATTGCAAATGATATGCGGGAATTAGAATTACGATGGGAATTTGAACTACAAGAACAGGAGAAACATTGGTCAAACGAAGAAGATAATTCTAAAAAATAATAGTAAGATAGTGGGTCTTACTACGTTGTTTACTTTTTAGATCTGACCATTATTTGCTGAAACATGTTTTTTTAACATGTGCAAATGATTTTTTGTGCGAACTTCCATGCATCGGCATGTTTAAATTTTTTCAAAAAACAAAAAAAAAAAACCAAAAAAAAAAACAAAAAAAAAGAAATGACTGAAAGTAAGTGAAATTTCTACTGTTTGCATATAAGAACATTTTGATGGTCTTGTAGAATAAAATCAAAAGAAAACAACACACAATATTTGAAACACTATTAAATGAATAGATAGAAAACTTTATCATCCCTACTTTAACTAACGTAAAAAATTTTCCTATTGATACAGCATAATGTAAAGTGAATTTACTACTTTCTCACGTACTGTGTCTTTAAAACATCTGTATATGTAATATTAATTCTTTAATATGGGAATGCATTTGTTCCTGAGATTGTCAACGTGATGATAAATCTAGTTGTAAATAATATAAGATTTTAAAGAAATCTTCATGACGATGTAGTAATTAACATTTAGTTATGCAGGAAGTTGCATCGTTTTAATTTTTTACTAGCTACAGTAGAGAGTCTATCATAAAGAAAAATCAATGTAAGAAGTGAGAGTTAGCTGCCGCATTGAAATTACATTTATAGAACCGGTGAAGGGTTGATCGATGTTCCGTTATTGATCATAACGGAGACATTCATTGACAAAAACAAATTAAACAAACGAGAGCAGATTTGTTAAAATTTAACAGAAATTAATGTCAGTGTTTTATAAACATGACAGGATGTAGTATATTTTGTTTATATGTTTGCACAATGAAGCAAAGAATATTATATTATTGATACATTCGGAAAGAATGCTATTTAACCTGCAACAAGGTTACATGATAAAAATATACGGATACATATAGGTGTTACGCATACATAAAATTAACATATTCTGTTAAAATTTTGCATAATTAAGATATATATTGCTTCTAATATAAATATATATATCTTAATTATATATATAAATAAATATATATATACATATATATACATAACAATTGATTTTTAGCTGATAAACAAAATTTTTTTAAATACTTAGCTTTCTTACTGTACTTCCTTTTACGATTCATGTTTTCAGATTTGAAAATGTGTTTCTAAATAAAATACAGTAATCTGTAACATCTTATTTTAGTTTGATGTTAATTTTGGTTCTAAGTGTATCCTAAGATACAAATCTGAATTTCAAATTTTTCTTTTTCTTTTTTGAATTAATTTTTTTGAACAACCATTTACAAGTGGTTTTCAGATTAATGCAATTCGTTAATGAGAAAGTTAATATATTAATGAGATTATGAGGAAAGATAATTGGGAAATTCATTTTTCTTGTGATCATTAACTTTTTCTCTTTTTTGTAAAATCAAAAAGATTACTTTCTTGTTTTATTTTCTCTTGGATCAATATTAAGGATCCTATTTCATGTTTTACGTACAAAGTGTTACAATTTCAAATACTTAAAAAATTCAAAAAAAAAGTGTAAAACGAGGAAAATTTAATATTTATAAAATTTTCCTTTATTTGACAATATGTAGTGGAAAATTAACTATAGACTCCATTTGTGCCTGGTAAAAGAAACATTGCATTTTATTTTATTTGCCGTGACTAATTGATTTGTTTCAGACAAGTTTTCGAAGATTTGATGTAGGGATTAATATCACAGAAGATTTAAGATTAATTAATTTTATGATTTTTTTAATTCCTTAGTTTCTTTTACTAAATTTTCTAAATTTATGTTTGTGAAGTGGAACAGAGTCTCAAAGCCACTGATTCACTAGCTCGTTACAGAGTGAACAGAATAATGTAAAGAGACTGTTATGCGAGCTGCAGCTCTCACATTTGTAAACACATGTTCGATTTATGGACTTAGGAAAAACAGGAACAGTCACATTGGCTTCCTCGTAATTATTATCTTAATTTCTTCTGCTAGACACGAATTAAAGTATGTAATATTGACACACTGCTCTTTTTCCTGCATTAAAAAACAAAAGAAAAAAGAAAGATAAAGTTAATATTTTTCACAGCAAAATATGAATGAGATTTTATTTTATGGACGACAAATTTATATTCTTGATATAGCTATTTTT